AGACAAGACAGGACAGAACTTCTGGTTGACTTTTGGTTGTATGCAGAAAGGAGGAGAATTAAGTGTCCAGTTTGCCCAACTACACTGAGCTTTTACAACTGACATGTCTGAACTGAAAGCACTGTACAGTTATCAGCCCTTTGGGCTTCACGATGACACTGACAGAGTGTTTGTACGCGCACGGTTGTGTGTATGAACTGGTCAAACAGGTTGTGTGTGTGTGATAGAGTGTATACCTAATAACAGTCACTGAACAGATCAGTATACCAACCAGAAATGCTGAACTCACTAGTATACTTGCCAGTGACAGCAAACAGAGCATGTGTATCTGTACATGTGTGTTCTATTTGTTACGATCTAGAAGGTGCATCCTCGAAGCTGATAATGCTGGACTCTGGGTGTTGCGCTCCGCCTGTGGATGGAACTCCACTGCTCTGTGACACTGAGGACGAGGAGGAGAGGGAGCTGCTCATCGGCCCCCCTGCTGGTCTTGGAATGGAGGAGGCAGGGTCACGGCCACCTGGGAGGAGTGGCAACGTGTCAGTTCTAACCTCGTCCTCGTCCTCGTCTTCCTCATCTTCCATGCTGGGCCAGGCAGACTGGTCCTCCACGCGCTTTAGACGCTCGTTCAGAGCTTTGAGGGCCAGTTGTCTAGGAAGATGAGGTAAAGAGACACGAAATTTAAAACAAGTATAATAACCCTTTGGAAAATTACAAGCTCATGTCTGTGTCTGTGAGCAATGACTGACATGAAACTAAATCACAATGACAGTTTGGAAGTGTATCTGTCAGACACTGGAATGGGAGAAAAGATTATCTCAGTCAGCTTGATAGGGGGTGTTGGCGAGTATGTGAAAGAACATGTGTGTTGTAGAAGACTGTTTGAAGAGTATGACCAAAAAAAAAAAAACAAACAGACATTAATCCTTCCCTAAGTAAATAGCACAGTTTGTCTCCTTCACTACGGATGTGTTTAATGGACTAAGTGGGTGTGTCTTGTGAAGTTTCCGTGCATTCTAAACTGGACTAATGACTACAGGTTTATATTATCGGATAAAGCATGTCATATGAAAGCAAGCTCTAGAATAGCTACTAAATGGACACTGGACTGAGACTGTTTTAACAGCAACAATAAAATTTAAACCCCCGGGAACAGTTTGCAATACATTACATTTAAGGATTTAAGAAAGCTTTGCTATAAACTAAAACACCGTTTAGACTTGGTGTAAAATACGTGCAGGGTGAATGGATCACAAGTGAGCAGTGATCATACAGTATTGTTCAAAATAATAGCAGTACAATGTGACTAACCAGAATAATCCAGGTTTTTAGTATATTTTTCATTGCTACATGGCAAACAAGTTACCAGTAGGTGCAGTAGATTCTCAGAAAACAAACAAGACCCAGCATTCATGATAGGCAGAGTAAAATTGTTCTTTTTGGGTCCAAGGGCTACAGACAGTTTGTGAGACGACCCCCAAACTCTGAATTCAAGCCACAGTACACAGTGAAGACAGTGAAGCATGGTGGTGCAAGCATCATGATATGGGCATGTTTCTCCTACTATGGTGTTGGGCCTATTTATCGCATACCAGGGATCATGGATCAGTTTGCATATGTCAAAATACTTGATGAGGTCATGTTGCCTTATGCTGAAGAGGACATGCCCTTGAAATGGTTGTTTCAACAAGACAATGACCCCAAACACACTAGTAAACGAGCAAAGTGTTGGTTCCAAACCAACAAAATTAATGTTATGGAGTGGCCAGCCCAATCCCCGGACCTTAATCCAATCGAGAACTTGTGGGGTGATATCAAAAATGCTGTTTCTGAAGCAAAACCAAGAAATGTAAATGAATTGTGGAATGTTGTTAAAGAATCATGGAGTGGAATAACAGCTGAAAGGTGCCACAAGTTGGTTGACTCCATGCCACACAGATGTGAAGCAGTTATAAAAAACTGTGGTCATACAACTAAATATTAGTTTAGTGATTCACAGGATTGCTAAATCCTAGAAACAAAAACGTTTGTACAAAATAGTTTTGTGTTTGTACAGTCAACGGCAGACACTGCTATTTTTTTTTAACACACCCCTTTCAACTAATTGCCCAATTGCACAGCCTTAAGAGCGTGCATATCATGAATGCTGGGTCTTGTTTACTTTCTGAGAATCTACTGCACCTACTGGTAACTTGTTTGCCATGTAGCAATAAAAAATATACTAAAAACCTGGATTATTCTGGTTAGTCACAATGTACTGCTATTATTTTGAACAATACTGTAAGTGTAAACAATCACCAAGATGGATTGTTATCCAATCACTGAAACCACTTGCTGAGGTGGTCTGGGACGATTTTGACCATATATCTTTTGTAGTGTAAATGCTGATGCATCTCCGACAAGGACACTGGGGGAAAATACCTCATCAATGCAGCATGTGGTGGTTGCTCTGGTGAGAGTGTGACACTTAAAAAAAAATGCAGAGAAATGCCTGATACAAATCCACCCAAAGTATTCTGAAGCTTTCAAATGCGATGCTTGTCATCTTCTTCTTCTTTGGTTAGGGAGACTACTGGCGCTTGACAGTAACAGACTGATGTAATAATTGAGCCTGTGGCCATTTGATATTTAAGCAGAAGTGTCGCAGCAGCATTGAAATCTGAACGCAAGCGGTCAGCTGGGCACCCTGGAGACGCATGTATATTGACAGGTGTGAATGTCTTGGCTGTCCACTTGTGTTTGGATCACTGAGATGCATTTTAACAGCAAGTCTAACCAGGGCCTAAAAGTATTCACTTCTTTTAAATTTAACCGTTATTTTACCCAGAAGTCCCACTGAGATCAAGATCCCTTTTTCAAGGGAGACCTGGCCAAGATAGCAGTCAGTCAGCAAGGCAAACCTTTTCCTCTAGAACAGTCTTGTTGGGGTGAAAAGACTTCTGAAACAGTATTTAGACCTCTTCTTTCAATGAAACCAAAATAACATAACACCTGTAAAGAGTTTTTCTTCACATACAGTATTTAATGGTGCAGAAACTCTGGGTCACATTGTTGAGTAAGCAATGAATTTACAAAATTTTACCAGCTGCTTTTCTGCAACAGGTCATGTAGGAACCTCCATCACACTCAAGTCTTACTGACCATCAGATACTTCACTGAGTAAGAGTCTGCTGTATTTATGCTGATGTAAATGTTTAACTCACCTCCTCCTTTCTGCATCCTGTGGGTCTGTCCCTGGCAGGCTTATAGTGATTGAGGAGGGCGCCCCCACGTCGTACCTCTTCACCATCTTCCTGCAAACCTTCATCTTCACCAGAGCAGAGTGGATCAGCCCCGCCAGCAGCCCCACCGCTGGCTGCAGAGCCTCAGGGAAGAAACTTGCAAAGGCAAAGTGGTCTGACATGTCACCGCGGCCCCGGCTGTGTCTCTGGTAGAAGCGCAGGTAGACCCAGCCGGACAGGGTACCGTAGCTGTATGCAGCCAGGGGGGCAGAGCTCTCAAGCAGCCCGGAAAGGCGCAGTAAGGCCAGAAGGAGAAGGACCAAAGCTGGAGCTGCTTTAAGTCTTACCTGAATGGGAAAGGGAGACAGATTTTAGTTCATGTGAACAATAATGATCAGGCAAACGGGCAACTAGGAACATTTTTACAGGCCACTTTTACAGGCCAGTTTCCCCATTTCACTTAAGTCAGCTAGATTCAGGAATGGGAACATCAAACAACAGCTAGTTACATGCCAGGGTGGCAGGCGTAGGTCACAGTCAAGAGCTACCAGCATTCTGATGAACATTTCCTAAGCTACTCAGCTGAGATTCAGTGTTATACAAACTCATGAAAAGTGCAGAAAGCACAAACAGAAAGCACAGTGGCCTGATAGTTTAAGAGACACACCAGGAATGATTAGCTAATGAGTTCTTCCACAGTATACTAAAACCCTTAACTGGATACTTATAGAATGAGGATCTGCAGAAGAGCATTTGATTAAATATTAAAATGTAAGCTAACAGATAATCTCATGGTCCTAAGCCAAAGAATAAAGGCTAGGTACAGCAAACACTGGCTGGCAAACAACTGTCTTATATGGCTTTAATACAATAGTGTGATCACTGTACGTGAAAATAAACTGACAGTACCATACACAATATGTATGCTCACAAAATGATTAATATTTATTAGTAGGCTACCATAATAACTAAATAGAAAATGTGCTACTTGAGGCAAATGACAGAACAACATTTTTACCATGTTACACATATAAGGCAGAGCTGTGACCATTTTTGCCTCCTTCATCCATCAGCATCAACCTCCATTCAGACTTCTGTGAAGTCGTTCCACTGAGACAACACTGTATACACAAAAAACTGACAATAGTAGATACTAATTTGTTGAAGCTCGCCTGTGTTTTCCTTCTGACAGAGGCTTTGATTTAGTCTACTTCACATTTTTAAGGCTGTAGTTTGTAGTTTGTAGTGTTGTCAAGACAGTAGTCTATCTTGTTAGCAAAGGCACCGGATTTAACAGAGCATCAGCACAAACTACAGCCTCAAAAGGGGATAATAAACTCAAAAGAAACCAAACTTTACTATGGTTTCACAAGTGGTGAATATGCAGCATTTCAATATAGTATTTCACTGTAAGATGTTTTTGTGAGGTCTCTGGATATGCTGCTATCAAACTCACATAACCTGCAATCCAATCAACAAAACACAAAGATGATGATTGTATGTGTGTAAAGTAAAAACCCTAGAGTGCTTCACTCTATTATTGATTTTATATGATAATAAACTGATGTAAAAAAGGCTACACTTTAATCTCAATATTTGCTCAAAGCTGCAAACATACTGTATATATGCAGTACTTTCATGACTGACCAGATACCTGGTTTATGTAGAGTAACATTTACTGTGGGCCTGTGACAATTTAAACTGAAAAACAGAACACAGTAGATTTCTTTTTAATGCGCCTGGGGCCATCCTGGATGTGTACTGGCCATAATCTGACACAGGCTTGTTTATGTATGCATCTTAAGGGACAATAGTTATGTTTCCAGTTATGTGTTTGCATTCTTGTTAGGGTACATTCTCAAATTTAACTATGCTATCTCACCCCTCATTAGTATTATGCTCTGTTAATATTTACAGCTAGGAAAAAGGAGCACAGTCCTTGCTAAGAAGTATCAATGCAGAGCAGAAATTACTTTTTAGTCTCACCTGTGGCACTCTGAGCACTGTAGTGTCCCCCATAGTCTGCTTCAGTGCCACCAGGACACCTCCCAGGAACCCAGCTACTCCGTGGATGCGTAGAGCAAACAAGAAGCCCAGGTCAAAGGTGGCCACATAGGTGAGGAGGTAGGAGAAGCCTGCCAGGAGGCCTGCAGACAGATTAACCACTGCAAAAAAGATCAGGAGCTCCAGAGCGCCCCACAGAGGCTCCAGCAGGCGACCACATGCCATAACTGTTCCCACATTGGCCGCCACACCCCAAACATGCTGCTCCACCACGCCGTGGGTCACCAGCGTCCACACCCAGAAGTTGGGTGGAAATAGGTAGCCCGGCGTCACCCCCAGTGCGTATGGAGTGTCAACAGCCCATGATAACAGATAGAGCAGAACCACCACTGCACTTATAGTTTTTACCACCACACTTGTGCTGGCAAGGGCAGTCAGGAAGTGCTGCCGTGCCACCGGCAGGTAACGATTCATTGTGGCGTGTTTTGAAGAGGATCCTTTTTCAGCAAAACAGCAGATCCGTTGCTTCTGGTACAGCAGATGTTGGATGCTGGTGTGAGATTAATAATGCCAAGCAGAACAAGTACCACCTTTGAGTCCGGACGGCATCAAAATCCACACTTCTCTGTGGACCTTCATCCGGGATGCTGTCTTGCAACTGGTTAAAAATTCGGTAATCAGCTCATTAAAGGTCTATTTCTTCTGTTTAAGTCTGTTGATGTTTGTATTAAAATCAATGTCGCTTTCAAAACGTTACAATATATCTAACTCTCGGTAAAAATGAAAGAGTTAACGTAAGTGGAAACAAAACTCCTGGGCTGATTTACACAGTCCAGCAAGTGAACAAACTTTGGGCTGCAGTCGATAAGCCTGAAGATGTGATAACCTTAGCTAGGGCACCTTTGATCTAGCTGCCTAACGTTAGCTGGCTGTCGACATCCAGCAGGTAGCAGGCAAATCCTAACTGAAACAAATAAAAGCCAGCTTCTACGTGTGATCTCGGCTGAGTTAGCTTGTAAACATAGAACCGCTAATGTTAGCTAGTTGTGAACTGAAAGCGGCTGGAGTTACGCCGGTTTATATCCGTCACAAAGTAGGAGAAGAGGTTACGTCGTCGGTTGATTACAAGATAACGTAGAGCAGCTAGCGTCAGTAAACCGGGAACGATAAAACCAGCCTTCAGAGCTCCAATCCCGGTCCTATGCGCTCTCTCGGCCCAGCGTTTACTGTGCTAGCCCGAGGATTTCAATTAGCTACATACAGGCCTTCAAAACAATGTTACAGACCTCTCTCAACCACCGCAAGTTCATTTATAGTTTACGGGGTTTTCATACTACCTTAGTTTCATTCGTTTATTTTATAGTTCTTCTGTCTTCAGAGAAAAGGTCGCAGAAGAAAATTGTATTATCTCGGCAGGTACTCCTCCTCACAGCTGCTAACCTGCGCTGTTTCTGCCACCGTCATCATCAGTCAGTGCAAAACGTCAAGTCACGTAACTTTTTAACACCAAAGCATGCTGGGAAACCGAGTTCTCAACACATGTACTTAACAGACTACAGTTGTTATAGTGTTTGTGTTTATATGTG